GTGATTCTGTACTGAGATAGCATTTCTGTGTATTCCAGCCCTTGGTAATCCTGACACTGGATCTACCTTAGATTGTTCTGGTGGAAATCCAGGCTCTGAAGCAACCCTCCCTCTCTCTGCTTCTGTCACTCACAAACCTTAACAGAACCTATGGTCTCACTCCTTGGCTGTCTCAAAGGGGAGGCATATTTCTGCCAGAAGCATCCAGGGTTATGCTGGTTCTGGTTAGCTGTGGTGATAATCTACTGTGGTTCCCTGGCCACGCTCTTGAGATGCCAAGGCCATCTTCTAAGACACTGCAGTGACTTGGAAGCAATCAGTAACATGCACAACCTTAGCTAACTCTTCTCAGGACAAAAATGGATGCCCACACCTCTTGTTCCACTTTGTTCACATTCCTAGGTTAGGCAGACATAGGTACACACCATCCAGAGCTTCACCTGTCAATAAACAGAAGCGCATCACTCCGTAGTGTGCATTGCTACAGGTTAAAAAAACAAACAAGCAAACAAACAAACAAACAAACAAACAAAAAACCCAAAAAAACCCCAGCTCAGCACAGGGTGAAACATATTGCAGAAAGCATTCAGAAGTCAGAAGACTTGAGAATTATTTTATTTTATTTTTGGCACTGTTGGGGATTGAACTCATGACCTTGCCAGGCAAGCATTGTACTACAGGCAAGCACTGTACCACAAAGCTACAGAGCCACAGAGTTAGTTCAATAGTTTCTTTCAGAGCACTGATCCACATTAGGGTATGCGTCTGCCCATCAGGGCTTTGATGTGTCCTGGAGAGAGGCAGCTAATGCATATAAACAATTGTAGACATGTAGGGAGCTCAAGAAGCCTGTGATCTACAGGAGCAACCCTGCATGGACACAGCCAGAGTAGGTCAGGAGACCCAGAGGTCCGGTAGGATGCCTCCTCTGATTGCAGCAATCCACCTGGGAGCTCCAAATCCAGACACCCCACCCACCCACCCACCCTACTCCTTCTTAGCAGAATTACATGGGGCTGGAAGAGACTTGGATACCCAGATGTGCTGGGCAGCCAGTCAGCCAGGAGAGAGGGTGGAAGGCTCATGAGATTTCTACTGGAGAGATAACAGTCTCAGGATCAGGCCCTCGTGAATGCTTCTAAAGCAAGTGGTATCAATCTCCACATAGCTCCGAGGGCAAGAGCAGTAGTGTGGGTGTTAGAGTGCATGCCCTTCCAGCTTGGTTGTGCCCAAATGTACCTTTACACTCCCTTGGGGGCTCGCTCTGAATGCCTTTGGCCCCTCAGGCCTGCTGATTCCTGTCCTATCATTCTTTGATTTTGATCCTTCTATAATTCAGGCTGCACAAGAGAGGAACATGCTGGGCTCCATCTCATTTTAACTTTGAAAAGGGGACATAATTCTCCCAGAGGACCCCACCCTTGCCCCCTGGGAGCACTTTTACTTGCTGAGGCCCAGGACATGGTAGCAGGTCCCAGACCACTGTTCCTTCACATATAAATGCCCAGATAAAACAACTGTTACTACTCTTTGGAAAGTCTCCAATGATCAGAAGTTAGGTTGTAGTTTAAAATCTACCAAGTGCAGTTTCACAGGATTCAACTTAACACAGGCTGTATCCTTAAAACGACAAGGCAAGGACTGTACACTCAACTTGTGCAGCGGTGGCTCTCAACCTGTGGGTTGTGACCCCTTTGGGGAGGGGTCGCCTAAGACCTTGAGAAAATACACATTTACATTACGATTCATAACAGTAGCAAAATTACAATTATGAAGTGGCAATAAAAATAATCTTGTGGTTGGGGGTCACCACAACATGAGGAACTATATTAAGGGGTCACAGCATGAGGGAGGTTGAGAACTATTGGTATAGAGGAACACTGGAAAGGAGAGGCTGTCCTTCCCCTGAGGAAGAAAGTCAATCTTACTCTAAAGGAAGATTCATGGGGGCTTATCCCTAAGGGCCTGCAGTGCCTCAGACCGAAAGATACATAGTGAGGCCCAAGGATAAACTCAAATGTAATAAACCCCTTTAAAAACATCTTGTGTGTGTAACTGTACGTGTTTATATATGAGTACATGCCACAGGACATAGATGGAAATCAGAGACAACTTTGGGTTATGGTCCTTGCTTCCACCTTGTTTGAGACAGGGCCCTGTTTTTCCTTCCTTCACCAGATTATCTGGCCTAGTAGCTTCTGGTAATTCTCCTGTCTCATCAGAGCTCATAGGAGCACTGGAATAACAGATGTGCACCTCTGTGTCTGTTTTTTATGTGGACACTTGAGATCTGGTCTCAGGTGGTCAGGCTTGGGCAGCAAGAACTGTACACACTGAGCCCTCTCTCCAGTCCATAATACTCTTCTTAAAATCAGGTTGATATAAACAGACCAGGACTAAATATTAAAGAATATAAAAACAAACAAACAAACAACAATCCACAACAAACCTCCCTCCTGAAGATATGCAAATAGAATAAAAATGCACAGAAAATAGAACGGGTGAAGGAAACATTAATTCCATATCAAAGGGGATGGATCCACTCTTCCTGCTCTGAACAGACTGGCCTAGGGTCCCCAACTTCCAGAGGACACTGAGATAACTCAAGATCCTCTCTCTGTGAGACTCTCCTTCTTACTGTCTAGTTCCCTGGCATCACAAGATGCAAACTGGACAAAGTGGGGGGAGGGGTGTCATTTACACGTGTGGAGTAGACCCAATTAATTCCATGTAAGCCAGGGTACCCTAGCTAACCCTCCCCCTTCCTTCTTCAAACTGTAAAATCTGCACACCTGGTCCTTGCCCAGGAGCAAATGACTACACTAAATTAAAAAAACCTGGCCTGCACATGCTGGGGCGTGGGAAACCCTGGCCCACGAAGCAGCCACTAGCTGTCAGAGGCAGGCCTGGTCCAAGCGACCTTGGGAGCCTGGGTCTTAGAATTCTTAGCACACCAGGAAGAAACCTATTCTATCTAATACTGCCAGAGTGAATTTCGGTCTATTTGGAAATGCTCAGCTGTGTTGCAGAGCTGGGGGCGGCCATGGTCTCACCTTATTCTGATAGTTATATCTTATGTCTTCCTGGTTCCAAAGAAGCGCAAGGACCTGTTGGCGTAGGGCACTGCTTCAGTGTGGGTCTGGTGTGGGCTCCTGAGGTGCTGGGGACATGCCTGGGGACTCTTTGTGTCTGGTGCCTCAGTTGGGAGGCACAGGAGCAGGAAACTGGGCGCTCGCTACGCTGGATCTGTTGTTGCAGAGGAATACCTGTCTGTTCTGGTGACAGTTTTGGTGGTCAGCCCTACTGTGACCATGATATGACGCACACCACACCTTCTCCAGGTCTGGTCTGGTTTGCGTAAGGGCCAAGCTGTTCTCTAGACCCTGGTGGCACCAGGCCAGCAGACCCTACTGTCTGCTTTGCCAAGAGTGAGTCATTTCCTTACAATTTTGGCCTCTGTAGTTTTCCTTAATTCATACAACCAATCACAGGCAAAAGGTTAGGATTTTACAGGCTCATTCCTCATCTACTCCCTCATGGGACTGTACAGCTATCTCTGCCTTTATAAGACAGTTTTCTACCCTGTCCCGAGACTGTGAACCTTATTGGTTCAGGCCCTTGGTAGACCTAAGAGAAAGGTGGCACTCTCCCCCCACCCCCGTGTTCAGACACACAATGGTTGGAAGTATCTGAAGCCACCTCTTAGCAACACATGGCCCCCGTGCTAGGTACTTGGAGGTGTTTAACAGACACACACAGCCACTCCAGCTACAGCTCACAGTACTGGACACAAAATGTAGGCCGGCACACAGCCAAATTCTCTTCCCCAGTGGGTCGAAGACACTGTGTCACTAGACACACAGAGTGAGTGCTACAGATACCCACCCACCTCTCCCAGAGACCCCCTAACAAGTTCTGGTACCCCTGCTGGGAGCAGCCTTCTGCAGACAGCTCTGGGCAACACAGGGGTGAACAAGGCGCCCATTCATTCCAGCTGTCCTTTCAGTTTATTTGCATAAAATAGATCCCCTGTTTTATACTCTCACTTGTCTGACCTTGTTAGTGAACTTGGTCAGGCATCAGTCTGACTTCAGAGGGCTTTTGACCTTGTTTTTTTTTTTTTTTTAAACAACCCTATTTTTCAAGCGCGAACCGAAAACCAGGCATATTTCAAGCACCTTTAAATTATACTTAGTAAACACCATTCTGAACCTTAAGATTGCTTTAAATTCACCATAGTTAAAATCACAGTTTTTTCCCCTTAAAGAGATATATGTATTTGCATGCGTATGTCTGAATGTGAGTATATACTAATTTATATTAAATGATTTCTTATAAAAGTCAGAATGCAGAATAAATTTCTGCTATAGGCCTAGGATGATCTTAGCTGTGGTAATTAATTTCTGTGCTGAACAGATCCAAACAAGCTTTAGAAGAAATGCAATGTTTTCTTAGGTTACTAGGAGACTTTAAGTGCCCTTAGCAAACTGTATTTAAGCAGTGCATTTTACTCTCATCATTTAGAATGTGTCTGTGATAACTCGGGAGAAATTAAAACTTATCTGGGAAGATGCAGTGGTGGACTCTGAAGTCACTGTTACCAAGCAAATTCACAGGAGTGGCTAACTGTCCAGATACAGGGCTCATTTTCTGTGCTGTTGGCAGGCGGGAAGTTGAAGTTAACAATAAGCTTATTGAAGAATTTACTGCCATTCAGATGTGTTCCTATTTAAACCTTTCAGCCAAGCCAGAGTCAAGAGTTGATCTGCATGCATCATTTTTACTGCTTTTGCCAAGAATTATGTGACCATGTGCCAAAACTAACACAACCACTTGGAATGGGTGGGGTCGTGAGCTCTTAGCCTTCGGCCTTCAGCTTGGCCGCATGCCGCCTGTGTTTAGACGATGTGAAAAATTCCAAGCCTGTGTAGTCAGTAACGAGCTGTGATGTCAGCCATAGTTAATAAGTCAGGCTCCCCAAAGGCAGCGTGGTTACCAACCTTGCTGGAACACAGGGTGATGGAGAGCAGGCGAGGGGAGCCTCTCCGTGGCTGCAGGTTCATGAAAATAGGCTTCCAGCCAGGCTGTGCACTGCACCAGGGGCTCTGGCACTCCCTCTGGCCCACCGAGCACCTCAGGACTAGCTGGAGTCTCTGTGGGGCTGCAAAAAGGATAAGAAGCTTAGAAACCACATGTGTGAAGCTCATACCCACTGCAGCTAATGGGGGAAGGCTGCCAGCCACTCCCAAGTGTGTGTCTTTGCCAGACACAGAGAACTGCAGATAACAGAAATGACCACTGAGGGATGCTGGGAAGGAAGACACTGCAGTTCCCATGTCTGCTTCCCTATCCCTAAGCTTATTAAGTGCAGGGAGGGCCCAAATTATGGATTCCAAGCTTCTGCATATCCGGTGCCTGGGGATGGGGACCAGCAGATGGACACACAGGGACATCCCATCCTCCTACCCCCACCTTGGTTTTAGATTTAGAAGTCAGCATCATCAGGTAATTACTACTAGAGTTATTTCCCCTAAACATCAGGTAATTAGCCTGTACTGTCCACTTCCCACCTCTTACCCTGAATCCCTACAGCAGAGGGGGCATCGCTTCTCGGAAGGCTTTGAGCTTCACCTTTGGTAGCTCCTAGGACTATGCCAACCCATGTTCCACAGCACTGGTGTGGGTGTGAAGTGACATCACCTTGTGAGTTTAATGCTTCTCCGCTAGTGGGATGACTCCCCTTCTCTTGGGTGTCTAGCTGAGGCGCTTAGTAACAAATCCTCCTGCTCATTCTCTGTAGTCCCTGTCCTCCGGCGGATGCCCTGGCGTTTAAAATTGAAATGGTTCACAGCAACTCTGGGTGGTTTCTTGCTGCTCCTACATGGGGCTATCTTCTGTTCCCTGATTTGGCCCTGCATGGAGCCCACTGTTCATGCTCAGCTGGGGTCTGCCTTCCAGGTTGTGCTCCACAGGCTAAGAACACACGCTGTGAAGGGAGGCCATTTCTGCGCTCTGGGCTCTGAGCCTGAAGTTTTATGGCAGACTCAGTTTTTGTTTCAGTTCTCTGAGATCCACACTCAAGAGGCATAGACACTGGATCTGATTTCTCTGGTGATTTTTTTTCTCCTTCTCTGCATTCCCAGGCTCTAGACAGCAGCATGCTTCTGTGTGACTTTCTGGGCCTGGCAGGAACAACTTCTCTGGGACTTCTCAGGCAGCCCAGGGTCAGAGTTCTCATCGGAAGGTAGAAAGACCTGGATGCTGTAGAGAGTAGAGACTCCTTTACTCCTTGTTAATCTTGCCTTTGGCTCCTGTGTCTGGTGAAGGATGGAGCATTCATTCAGTCCACGGGTCTGTTGTAGACATCTTGGTGAGGAGGGAGGCCTTTACTCAGCTTTGGAAATGGGGCCCTACTCAGGTTTAATGGGTGGGGTGGGGACCGGGGTGCTAAGGGCCGGGAAAGCCCAGGCCTGGCTGCCCGAGTAGGCCTGCCTGCTGAAGGGCAGGATGGGCCCCCCTCCCCCAACAGGACAATTAGAGATACTGTGGGCAGGGATGGGGACAACAGTTTTGTATACAGACTAAAGCAAAAAGCAGCAGGGCCAGACCTCTGAGGTAGGGCAGGAAGGTCTCAAGCCACAGGAAGATGAGCTGGTTCCCAGGGTAAGCAGGCTCAGAAGGCCCTATGGCAGGCTGAGTCGAGGGATTTTTATGTAAGGAAGGTTCTGGTTGAGGAGATGCAGGGGTGTGAGTGCAGTTCTTTCCTTGTTTGTGTTCTGCAGATTTGACTCTCACAGGACAGTGACACGCTGCTAGCAGAGCCTTGCAAACAGGCCTGTGCAGGTGTGTAACCGCATAGGACAGCACCATGGTGAGGGCCTTTGTGTCTCTACTAAGTCCTTGTATCTTTCAATAGATGAACTTCCAGGGTGGGATGCACAACAGGGTTTCTGCTGGTCTCAGAGAAGACAGGAAGTTGTTCAGAAAAAGCCTCAGAAACATTTAAACACTGTTGGCCCTCAGGAAGGGACAGAGGATGGATGGAGAAAAAAGCCACAAGGCATGAGGATACTGGCGTAGAAGTGGATGGCTGAGGGCAGAAGCCAGGGCTGGGGGGTTGGGGTTGGGGGCTGGGGAGAGAGTTGAGATGGTAAAGTGCTTGCTGTACAAGCATGACCACTCAAGTTCGACTCTCAGTGCCTGAGTGAAAAAGCTGTGCATGTGCTCATACTCTCAGCGCTGGGGAGTGGAAGACAACCCTGCTTGCTTGGTGAGTTCCAACCCTGTCTCAAGAAGATGGATGACATCCAAGGAATGACACTCAAGATTGTCTTCTGCAACCCACCACCTCGACACATACACACTCAAGCCCTGAGCTGGCCAATCCTGCGGCTATCATTAAAACTAGCCTTTCTGAAGCTGCTAAGCAGGGTCCTCACTGAGCTCGGTGCCTGTACAAACAGGTATCAGTCCAAGCTACTGCTGCCCACATTCCCCAGATGGGCCCCAGGGATGACAGCTCCCTCCCCATGCAGACTGCAGGCTTCTCTTGGGAGTCTCCTGGGGAAGAGGGAACTGTCTCATTGCCCTGACTGCTTTCCCTATTAGCAATGTCTGATGATGGGAGGGAGAACTGCCCGTGCCTGGCTTAGATATTACTCAATTTTAGAGATATATGCTCAGTCATTCTATACTGGTTCTGTTGCTCACTAACAAAGTGAATGGAGTATCAAGGATGTCTAAGAGGAGAGATGGAAAAATATATAATGTGTTTTGCCTTCCTGGTCTCTGGAGACAGTGGGAGATCTGAGGGTACTGGGGTGGTGTCTGCTGGAGATAACCAGGTTCCTCCACATTGAGGCAGCCAGCAAGCAGCCTATAGTCTTCAGGGCTCACTCCACCTACTCAGACCACAGTGAATAAAATTCATGTCCATGCGCACAGACCCTCAGCCAAGGACACAGGAAGGATAGGACTGCCTTTAGGTCCTGCCCCAAACAACCAACTCTTCACAGAGCATGAGTGGTGCGTGGGGTGGGGGGTAGGTACAGATAAAACAGGGAGCTAGTTTAAGACTAGCTAGTACCTCAGCATCAAGGCCAGGCTAATGTGGATGCTGATGAGCACTGCACACAGCGGTCCTGAGGGACATCAACGTTCACTGTGTGAGGGAGCATTTTAAAGCAGGAGTCCAGAGCTTTCATATTTCCCCGTGACTGCTCAGAGGCCTTGGCTGCCCATCTTGGCCTTCCCTCTACCTTGAGGAGGGCAAGCCGTGTTTCCTAGCATTTCCCACTCTTAAAAGGATATGTGGAGAATTTTTATAGTAGTAAAATTCATCTTAAATTGATTTTTTATGCTTGTGCTAAAGATCTCACCTCTGATTCACTCTGGAGTTCTCTTTTTAACTCTTTCTCCATCGGCACTAGATAACTAGCCATGGGTGAAATGTAATTAAACAGCTTTGATTCCGAAGCAAGGATTTATGGGGCTACATTTAAAATGAATGGCTTTAAACACACACATAAAACCAGATTTTTAAAGCCATGACACAAATTTCCATTTCTACAATAAAATGAAATTTATTCTCTTGCCCTGCCCTCTTCCTCCAACCTTCCCTGCTGCTCACCAAGGGAAGAGCTATGGCGTGACAGCAGTGCTAACGGCTGCTCTTATGATGGAGGTGTTTCTCCAGACCTTCCTGCTGGCGAACCCTGAAACTCTAATAATTAGTGGCTCCGCGGCCCATTCTTTTAAATGCCACATCCAGGTTTCCTCAGCACCAGCCCAGAACAAAACACAAACCCTGAGAATTGCTCAGTATCATGCCTGGTATCCCTCAGGGACACTTGCTTCAAACCCAGTGGTCGACATCAGTCCAACTCTCTAGGCCAGCATGTCACCTGTCCCTGTGGAGGAATAGAGTGGTGAAGACTGCAACATCCCTCCCCCCTTTTTGCTATTTGACTTGGCATTGGTAGATGGCTGGGGGCTGAAAAAAGAGACCCTTCGTCCTTAAGCTTCTACATGGGAGGATGGACTATGAGGAAGGTGCAACACACTTAGCTGGGGCCAACGAAGGCCTGTTCTCAGGATTTCTTCAAGAAATTAGCAACTTCTGGTAATTTCAGGACAAGAGCATGCTGCCTCCTGGAGTTCCAGAGCACAAGACAGTTCATGTGTAGCTGTGTTTCTGAAGATGTCTGTGAGCACTTCTGCCTGTTTCCCTTCTTGACTTTGAGAAAGGATGACCGTGGTGCAAGCCAGTTTTGATCATGTCTTTCAACTCTTCACAGGGCAAAGAAAAGTGGCTCCAAAGCCTCAGTCTAGACTTCTGCCACATGAGCAGAGTTATTCCCTCCTGAATGAAGCTTGCACGTCAAGAAATGGACACACCATTAGGAATAGAATGCAAAGACAGGCATGAGACAGTGATTTAGCCAAGACCAAGAAAGATGGCCCTGGTGCCGGGTAGAGTGTGCATCTTATCTTCTGAGTCCTATCAAGTTAGTTAACCACTGAGTGGAGACCAGAGACAGCAAGGCTCCGACAGCAGGTGTTGCAAAGCCATAGCCTCCTATGGGAGCCTTGCCTGGGGTCTCGTTCTTTACCAAGCGATGACATGTGCATGCCAGGCTACAAGGGGAATATCAAGGTCACACCTGTCACCTCTTCCTCCCATCTTTCCCAGAGTACAATTTAAAACATGGCCCAGCCCATGGGAGACTTTGGTAATACAGATCTTGGGATGCTTCAGAAGTCCCTTGGAGGAGAGAATCACTAAAGGCTCATTTCTCAGTGACTTCTACCTCCCCAAGACAGTAAAACAAATGTCCCTGTCTGAAATGCCATTTGATGTAAGAAAATAGGCTACACCTTCCTTAGAGTCACTCACATGTCAGGGGGCCACGAAATGACAGTCACCCCCAAGGTGGTTGCTGCTATGGGACAATCAGAATGCTGAATGACAAGATTGTGTGCGCATGCCATCTCCTCTGTGACCTAGTCTCTTGCACCCCCTTCCTGGACCCCCAAATTGAGGACTTTCCATTCTGTGCTTTGGAAATATTAACTATGACAGTAGAGGGTCATACCAGGAGAATTGTATAGACCAGAGTTCTTCCAGACTCTGGCAAGAAGCCAACGTAGGCTGTGTCCTTC